TAGGGCTTAGGGTTCAGGGTTTCCTTGAACTCAATGTTGCCATCACCGATGCTCTCGATGTGCCCGGTGGGCTGCGTGGCATCGATCTTGGAAACCTGGCATCCGGGCTTGGCTCGCGAGATTTTGGGTATTTACGGTTGAAAATGCAGGTCTTCGTAGCCTTACCCTAGGGCTCCATGTAGCCCTATAGTATATACCTAGGCCCAGGTCAAGGGGTTCCTATATGGGTACTTTAAGACCTAAGCATATATTATATGAGCACAATGAGCCTTGAGGTTTCACCGTGTGAAACCCTAGAGCGAGGCTAAACTCTAAGCGTGGCTAAGCTCTATAAGCCCAAGCTGACTTCGAATCTGAAACAGTCCGTCTACAAAAATGGAAAGATATACCAGTAGAGCTATCTGACGATAGAACCATAGAACAAAGTCAACTTCATAGCAGAATAACATAACCTTGTACCTGTATAGTAACTTACGAATCGATTCATCGGTTCCATGCTGAGGCTCTGAGAGGGCTTTCGACCCCCCCCCCCCCCCCCGGCTCCTTCGACGGCTTTAGGAGCCCCACTTCAGATCGGCAGGGTGGGATGTTTGGGTGACTGGCGGGGTTTCTGGACATCGGGGGGGTCCTATCTCAAAGGCCCTGCTTTTGAAGGTCAAGAGTGGGGCTGCCTTAGGATGGATCTAGTCTAATGTCAAGGACCCTACTACTTTAATGGCTAAAGTCGAGGGGCTCCCTCGGCCCTCTCCTAAACCCTAAACCCTAAACCCGAAATCCTAAACCTGAAACCTCTCTCGAACAAGGTGCCTGGTCGATGAGGCGGAAGACCTCCACAGCGGCGTGGTGACCCGATGCTGAGTCTGGGATGTACTGCACGATGGAGCTCACAGACCTAGGCGCAAGGCTTGTGTAGGCTGGGATCCAGTATATATAGGGGGTCCTTATCACAACTACAATATATATTATATCCCCAAACCCTATTCGATTTATTAAGGCCCGTATATGTATATTATCTACAGCAGTGGTACTTAAACAAGTTGGACGGATAAGCCTCAAGCCCTAAACGTCACATCCGAAAGCAGTAAGGCGGCATCACACCGAAGACGACGCAGAAGAGAGTGAGCAGCACCTGGTTTGCGTTGAAGTTCCAGTACCTCAGCCAGATCTGAGCGATTCGGACACCAGATTCTTGACTTGGGGCTCTTAGGGTATAGGGTTCAGGCCGGTCTAGGGACGACACAGCTTTTTGCGCAACCCCTCACCTCAAAATCCTGAAGTGCATTGCCCTTCTACGAAGCATTGAAACACAGTGCGACCTCATAGTCTCTAAAGCCGTGTTGCCCCACCTAAGCCCTGAGCTCTTAAGTAAGCTTATGCCATTTCCGTGGGGCTCTGGTCCATATTTAGGAGTTAGGATTAGGGGGACCCTTGTGGATCTAGACGCTGTGAATAAGGTTCCGTCTAAGAGAGCCATATGTCGGGTTAAGAAGGGCCCCTTGGAGGGGCCTTCTTACTGTTACCTAGGAATATTGTGATCCTGGTAAAGCTATAGAATCAAAAAAGGTTACAACATAGGGGCTAGCTTCTCAACTACTAACCCCCGAGCAGAAACGAAAACTACGAAAATGGCACCCTCAAATTCAAAATCCAAGCCTTAGACATTCGCAAGTTCCTGCGACGCTTCGAAGGCAATACCTTCTTGAAACCGCCACGAATTTCAGTCCCAGCTTGCCTCCACCGCAATGGAACCCAAAGGAACTAGAACCCCAAACCGCCACTGAGGATAAGAGTTTATAAGATTGGGAGATCTTGTCCAGGATTGATATGTCTGCTGAGTTTAGTTATAGGCTGTGGGGATTAGAAGTTATAATAGGTTTGCGTAGCCAGTGTTTGGATCGCTCCGTGTAGGGCTTAGCTTCTGGTTTTCGCTTGTGGAATCTGAAGTGCTTCATGCAACAATGACCTAACTCCGGGACACCCGACTGGACTGCTAACCCCACTTCCACCCCGCAAGCAAAGCTTGCGCTGGCATCTACTATAGGGGCCTGAATAACTAGAGTAGGGTTTCGGGGCTCATTATACTATACTTATTATAAGGAACCCCCAACATAGTATAGGTAATCATTAATTTGAGGTATTGTACTTCTAATAACGAACCCCCGAAAACAGTATAGGTAGTTACCAGGTAGTTATTGTAAGGCCTCCCTACTAGCCATCCAGGCTCCTGGCTGAATACACGCCGCACTCATCGCAAAGCCTGCCGAAGCTTGGGATTGGGGTTGCAAAATCCTATAACCCCTAAACCCTATAGACCCTGAACCCTAAACCCTATAGACCCTAAACCCTAAACCCTATATAGACCCTGAACCCTGAACCGTCATGTTTTGTTGTTCGACCCTTTTTTCTGTTTTTGGTTTTGAGTGTGCGGGGGGTTCAGGTTTCCTGAGGCTTTACGGCTTGGGGCTTCGTGTGCATGCATTTGAGATCTGGGATCGGGAGCTTCATCGTCACGGCTTCCCTATCACACTTGCTAAAAACTGCTTATCAAGACACGGAGCCTCAGTTCAAGAACCTAAACCCCAAAAAACCCAAAAAAACTAAACCCCTTTCAGCACGGACTGAGGTGCCGGCCAGGGCCTATGCAACTCTCACCCCCTCTCAAGGCAAGAGCACGCAGGAAAAGCTGTGGATGACAACGAACGAAAACTTAGCAAAAAATCCCCTGAAAATACAAAACAGCAAAGAGCTGCAATCACTGCACCATCTGCTCAAGGATAGAGTATTGACTCGCATCAACGTACTCACAACATAAAGCTCGAGGATGTTGCTGCCAGATTAAGGTCTGCCAAGGAGATCAAACCCCACCGAAGACATATGTACCTCAATGACCAGGCAGAGTCGTGTATTGCCATCCAATGGTCTGGTCAAGAACATGTGGGTAGGGCCCAAGCATGGGTAGTGAGCTGGAGAAAGATTGGCATCAGCCAGAATATGTGAACACCTAAACCCTTTTGAACCCAGACTCTGCTGATCAGCCGGGAAGTAGCACTGCATGATTTCACGCGCACCTAAACCCCGAAACCCCTAAACCCTAAACCCCTAAACCCTAAACCCCTAAACCCTAAACCCTAAACCCTAAACCCTAAACCCTAAACTCTAAACCCTAGCCTCACATGCACCTAAATCCCGAAACCCCGAAACCCCCCTCGACCCAACACTCCGGCACTCTGAACTGCAGCATTTACGCCCTCACAAGGTGTAGGTTTTGGGTTTAGGGTTTAGGGTTTAGGGCTTAGGGTTTAGGGCTTAGGGTTTGGGGTTGAGGGTTTTGGAAGTGTGGGTTTAGGGCTTAGGGTTTGGGGTTTAGGGTTTAGGGTTTAGGGTTTGGGGTTTAGGGTTTTTTGGAAGTGGGAGAGCTGAACTTCTGTGGGCTCGGACATTCAGGCGATTGCACAAGTCCTGATGCAAAACGAGCTTTTGGAAGTGTGGGTTTCGGGCTTAGGGTTTGGGGTTTAGGGCTTTTGGAAGTGTGGGTTTCGGGCTTAGGGTTTGGGGTTTAGGGTTTAGCATTTGGGTTCTGGGGTTTACACTCCTCAGCGCTCTGCTCCTAAAGTGTGCAAGTGCCACGCTAAGTCCCGAAACAAGACTAAGTCCCGAAATACCACGGCTTGGAATCCGAAAAGCATAGCATCCTCGAATGTTCTGAAGAGTCCTCACAAAACCCAATAATCTGCAACACACTTCGTCGAACGCTCCTGGACCCAAGGGGAAGCAGGGTCTCTGTGAGTCTGTCTTATGCGCACTGAAAGCTATCCCAAACCCTTAACCCTAAAACCAGCACTCACGAGGGACCTGCGAGGTAGATAACCTGGATCAGGCACCTCTGCTGTTTCGGTGTTTTCGGGTTTACCAGACCAACATCTCTCAAAAGTCTTAAAGCAAAGCCAATGCCCGGGTTCTATGCAAATACGCGATGCGACTTCCAGTTCTACTAGAAAAAGGCAAAATTAACTAAACCCTAAGGGATCCAGGTTTGCGGACTTGTAGAAGCCGATGTCTGCAGAAATCGGCTCGGTTCTTCGTTTCTGGCGTGAAACTCGTCGAGATCTTTTATGACTCTGTTGCTTCGGGTCTACTTAAGTCTACTACTCAACAAACAGGGCTTTGGGTTTGCAGATGCATGCGAAGACTTCGGCTGATGGGGCTAATGCTCTGGAGAGCTACAACATGTAGGCCTGAGGCAGGCTAGGGTCTTGGAGCGCGGACGAGGCCATCCAAACCGCCAGCAGGCTCAACACAACAAAACCCACATTTCGCAAGTATAGCATGGTAGGGTACGGTATGAGATGGTATAGTACAGCCAAGTGTGCGAGTATATACGTACACGCACTAACAAAAGTATCTTGACTAGCATGGTTCAACCTAACAATATCCGGAGTCCATATACTACGACTTCGACCTCAAAGTAACCCTACGTACCCCAAACCCTAAACCCCTAAACCCTCATCACAATTGCAGCAGGAGTGGCATGTTCATGCCCAGAGAGATTCCGAGCTTCCAGGACTTCGAGGTCTTGGCGGATTGGAAAAGTAAGGCAGGTTTTTGTGTTGGGTTTACACTCTCACAACTCGGACAAGCCAGGCGAGGATCCAGAGGTGCACAAGTCGGCGTGTGTTGGGTTTAGGGTTTAGGGATTTAGGGTTTATGGTTTAGGGGTTTGGGGTTTAGGGTTTAGGTTAGGGCTTAGGGAATTAAAGTTGAGGGGTTTTGGGATGTGCGTATGTATACTGACCCGAGAAGTCCATGCCAGGACAGGTCAGCGGGCATGTGCAGGATACCCAAACAGAATAGTCTCAGGGAGCTTACTATAGCGGCGAAGAATTAGAAAAGGATTTTGGGGAGACCTAAGGAAGTAGTTTTCCGACCCTATATGACAGACCGTGCAGAGCTTTTCCACTTGTCCTTGCTAGCGGGGTCGCATGCGTAGAAGTGTCCACAGGGTCAAAAGCCCACGCTTGCCTAGCAGAACAGCAACCCCGTGCTTGGGAATAGTACGCAGGACAGGGCGGGTACCAAGTTTGCTTGAGCACACTCGCTGAACACATCTTGCGTCTAGCTGGAAGGAAGCAAATTAAATATGCAGGCATCTTAACCACAAACCCATCTTGAAGCACCATCTACACTTGGATCACCTTACGAGTTCGATGGTGGACAGCTGATGCCAGTGCTCCAACTTTCTCTGACAGATTCTTGGTAGAGCCATTCGACGGAGTGTCCATCACGGGCGTTGGCCCCAAGGTGCTCGGCCCATAAACAACATTGGACAGAGTTTCTACCTACATTGGAGTAAACGAGAACATGTCACAATCCACAGCCCAAGTGCAACCTTCGCGAGGACAAGCATCATACGTCGCTACTGCGACAGCACCACTTAAGAGAACAACTTTGGGATAAGAAAGTGTGAGTCTCGGGAGGGCCCACTGCCTGAAAACTATGAGCAAGACTACTATAAGAGAAAATAAGAATTAAACCCTAAACGCTAAACCGAGTACCCTGACCCAGACACCAGCGGTTCTATCCCGGTCACGAGCCCAGTCACAAAAGTGCTACGGAGGAGTGGTTTGCTAAGGTGGCTCAACGTATCGACTCCCGCAGCTACACCATAAGCTCACTGTCGATCTAGGCCCCACTGGCATGCTCGCAAGAAAACCCACAACATCGGCACAGGGTGTTTCTCAGACCCAGACAACCCTATCAGCCCCAAACCCCAATTCCCATTTCCGGACTCTCTGAACCAGTACACCCTGCAACTATTAAACCGGCCCAAGCATCATTCACTTCGGTCAGGACATCCAGGGATTCGTCGATGATCTCCAGGGTGTACTCTTCCTTAATTTGGGGTTCTGTACAGAGGCACGATAAGGGCTCTAAATGGGGCTTCGACGCGTTCGGCAAGCGGTACTACGACGGGGGGTTAGGGTGGTATGCATGTAAGTTACCTGACGTGGCTTTGCACAGCATGTCGCAGACACACGCATGGAACGACCATGCGTATAGTCAACACCACAGAACAGCGAGAATCACATGTGAGCAGCGGCGGGCCCCCATGGTGCATCATAATCCGCACAATCCCCCATGTTTTGATCCATCAACCCTTTACACCCCAAACCCCTTGTCCTGAATCCGACACCCAGCGCAACTTAGTCCTCAGCCCGAAGCACTGCGCTACCTGGTAACCCTAAACCCTGAACCCACACCCCTAAACCCTAAACCCTAAACTCTAGACCCTAAGCCATAACCCCTAAACCCCTAAACCCTAAACCCCTAAACCCCTAAACCTCTAAACCTGAAGTCCGGCTCCAAGAGACGGCTCCCAAAGCCCTCACAGTGCGGATGGCCGTCGCCGCCTCTATTCGCGAGCAGGTCATGGAGGAAGTGTCGGGGGGGGGGGGTTCCCTCAGGTGTGGTTTAGGATATGTGCTTTAGGATTCAGGCTTTCTATTTCCAAGTGCACTTTTCCGTCCGGCAGCAGGAACCTGGTCTGGGCGATTGTTTGCCTCAGCAATTCGGGATGTGCATGGGTTCGGAGTTTGCAACCGTCAGCTGCATTCCGGATCAGCTTACATCAAAAGCTACAAGACTCCGACACTTCAAGCATGTTGAATGTTAAAAAAATCTCCCGGATACAGCCACACATCGTTAGGGTGCTTTCAGGAAAACCCGAAACAATCAGCACTAAACATCTGCACAACACAAACTTAAATAAAATGGAGGACAATGAAACATTCCCAACCTGGTCGAATGGTCAATCTCTACTGCCCGATTTGGGATAATACATTCGGCATTTCTTACATCGATTAGTTGGTGTTCGGAACACGACGCTCGCTGCGACATGTGCAGATCAAAACGTGTACGTAACAAGGGTCGAAAAGTCTGCGACAACTACCAAGCAGTTGGGAATTATGACATCAAGTCTAATCAACTCTGTCCACCAAACATCGCAAAGTGTGCACTAGGCCTCTACATGCCCACAGCAAGTAAGCTTCAGACTCTTAGACCCCCAAAGCATATGCAACCCCTGCAAAGTCCCAATGGAGCTTGAACAACCCTAAACACAGACTCTTTGTAGTAATGTAGGGGCCTTAAGAATTGGAGTTATTCGGGTTTTGGGCTCCTTTATTATAGCATGATTATAATAATACGGAATCCTAACAGTCGTAATATTGCTAACCCCAAGGGTTGTACCCAAATGGTAAATACTTTGGGTCCATAGTACGTATATAGGGACTACTTTAGGGCCAAAATATCTATCATTTGGACCCCCGAAGAAGAGCCGAAGGCCGAAAATTTCCCACGGGGAGGCCTCGGCTGTCTCCTTCCCACACTTACCATAAGCCGCCCTTAGTCAAACAGCTGTAGGGTTGAAGGTTTAGGGTTGCCCTACACCCCAAACAAATTTTAAGGGTTTAGGGTTTAGGGTTACTCTAAACCCTAAACCCAAATTTTAGGATTTAGGGTTGGAGGGTTGGGGCTGGACAGCGAAATCGTCGAGGTAAGCCACGAAGGGCCGTGGGAAGTTGACGTTTCTTTGGTGGTTGTAGTTGGGGGTTGAGGACTCCTGACCCAAACTGCAAGTTATAGAAAAGTATATACTTTTGGGGCCCAGATACCTACAAAGTAGCTACCATATTAATACTTGGACCCTTTGGGTGAGAGTCCAAGCGATGAGTAGGTATGGCTCCGGTGTCCAGAACGCTATATGCAGACCCTGAATTCTGGCAAGGAGCCTGTAATGTCCACAGAGTGAGCCCTAAGCCTTAAACTAGGGTTTAGGAACGGGCGAAACTTGGGAATTTAGGGTCCATCTAGCCTTGGCCCGCAGGCCAGGCTTCATTGTTGCCACGGTCACCGACATTCCACAGAGTGAGCCCTAAGCCTTAAACTAGGGTTTAGGAACGGGCGAAATTTGGGAGTTTAGGGTCCATCTAGCCTTGGCCCGGGTGACCGACATTTTTGGTACACTCCAAAAGCAGGGTTCCGAAAGAAGTGTTGCGCCCATGATTAAAACCAAAACCAATGTCGCAATTCTTCGAGGGTGGTACTTTTTCTTGTGGCAACAAACCCTAACACCTAAACCCTCAGGAAACTATTTCGAAACAGACCCCAGTTTCAGCATTACCAAGGAACTCTCCTCTCTGCTCCACGCGGGTGGCACAAGCAGCGACCTCAAGAGAGACGGCTGTCGGATCCCATGGGGCTCTTGGGGCTTGTTGTGTTGTGTGGTTTGGGATTTGAGGATTCTGGGGGTTGTAGGATTTACGGTTTTACGGATGTTTACGGTCTTATGGGGCTCAAGATTTCGAGTTTGCCTGAAGAATCACACCCTACCAGTCTATTTATTCGAGTGACAAGTTGTGTAGGTAAGACTTTCCAGAGCCTCACTGGCTTCAAGCTACACTTACATGGTTGCAGATGCTTAGTTTAGCCCGCATTCGAAGTCTTCGCATGGGCCCTGTTCGGCTAATGATTTCGGACGTGTGACTTATGATTTTCTGATTTTTGATCGCACATTTTTCCTCTTGCTGCCAAAAGGACAGGATTGGAGGAACGAGGGCGTGGGGTTGAGGCTTTCACAGCACGGATGCTTGTCTTACTCCATCTACATGGCCCAAAGACAAAATACAGTGAACCCTCATGAGATCCTCTGCCGAAGCTGTCAACACCAAGCCATGAGCATGCCCTATGGAAATGCATGCTGCTACGCCTTTCCCCGGAGTGCACGGGGATGATGTGAATGTAAAACTTTAGGGCTGCAGGGCTCTCTGGTTTTACCACCTGACAGCTTCCATAGGGACTGTCCCTGAAGACTCTTCTCCGAAACCCTAATCTCCCTACATAAACCCTCAACCCGAAGGCACCTGAACGCACCTAAACTCCTCAAGGTGATGGATTACTTCCGTGACTACTAGATAGAACGACTACCACGACTGACGAATGCTACCCCCTTCTGCATTTCTTATCAACCTAGCTGTGACTTCCAGCTACATCTATTCGTATTGCGGCCATGCGGTCTGGCGTTTGGCTTTTTCGCGAACCTGTACTGCCTTTGTCTTTATCACTCTGCTCTAGACCAGGTTGAGACGGAGCTGCTGCAAGGCCCAGGAATCCGCAGATTGGCATCAGAGCGAACAGGATCAATGCCTTTTGTAGGGCGAGGGAAGGATTCAGTACTTACACCTAAGCTAACCCCTAAACATCCCTGAACCCTAGCGTTTAGGATCAAGGCCTTGCAGGGAATTGGGGGTGTAGCTTGGTTTTGCATATTGGAATTCAAGGACAAGGTCAGATTCAGGATTTGGGATACTCCGGCTCAACTATATTTGGGCTTTAGGGCGGTTTTTATGCTTTAGGATGTTATGGTTGAGTGATGTTCCCGAGCGGTTTACGGTTTAGTTCATGCGATCTTTCGGCATTTTGGAGGTTCCCAAATGGGCACGGTTTTTTTCGACCC